AATTTGAGGTGTTATACCAGTTACAGGAACACTTCACATTAGCAGAAAAACAACACCCTCACCCCGGAGAATTCTATGAAACATCAGAGAGGTGACGGAGTGTCCATACAACGGGGTGAGGCAGCAATGAGGTGACCAGAGACATTCTGCCGGGCCTTGCCTCGCAGCCAGAAACTCCTCGTAGCCCTGCTAACAGAGGAGCGGTGCTCATCACACACCCATGCCATCTGACCCAACTGCACGGCTCCCCACACCCCTGTCTCCTCTGCTCAGTGGTGCCTTGGGGTGCATGTCCCAGGCCCTGCCCTGGAAGGGACCTGTGACCTGGCACTCGAAGCTCAGTGCTGCCCTTCATTGGCTCAGCGCCCTGTGCACGTTGCCGCCCCTCTCTGGGCCTTCACTTCTATCACCAGGGCTGGGACACAAAGCCAGGACTGAGCAGGAAACCCAGCTCGGGGCTCCCTCAGGGGAGCTGAGCGGAGGATGAATTCTGGGCCCTGTTGCTTTGGGGGGCCAGGGGTGGAGCTATGCACATAGCAGGTGGTAGCTCTCGCTTCAGGAGGGGACTTTCTGGTCCCCTGCAGAGGAGGCTGGGGTGAGATGACACAACTTGGCATCGTCTTGACCCCTGGGACACCTCAGCCAGGTCCCGTCCGTGGTGCTGGAAACATGCAAAGCTGAAGTGAGCAGACCTAGTGGGCCAGTCTGCAGTGCGGCAGGGTGCTCAGGAGGCAGGCTGAGACAGTGAACAGGTCTTTGCGCCTCTCCAAGCCTCAGTTTGTTTATTTGTAAGCTGGGGAACCACTGACATCCCAGAATGAAGCAGCAGGGGCAGGAGTGGGCATTTGGTGTGGCAGTTGGGAAGCCGCCTGGGCCACCCGCATCTCATAAGGAAATGCCTGGTTCAAACCCTGGCTCTGCTTGCAACAGCTGCCGGCAGATGCACACCCTGAGGGCAGCAGGTGGTGGTTTAGGTACTTGGGTCCCTGCCGCTCAGGTAGGAGACCTGGGTGGAGTGCCAGGCTTGCTTCATTCTCAAAGCAGAGCGTGGTTCCCAGTGTTTTACCAGTCTGTGAACAGACGTTGCAATGGGCACTGGGCTTCCAGGAAGGGGCAGGGCAGACCCCATGCATTGGGTTGCCTGTGGAGACCCAATCAAGAACAGACTCAACCCCCAGGAGGTGAGCACAGGGATGCTTGGGTTGACAGCAGGCCTGTGCAAGAGGAGCTGGCTGGACCCAGCTGACCCAGAGGAGCCTCAGATCTGAAGGCTGAGTGGCAGGTGGCAAGCGGACAGGTGACCAGACATCTGTGTCCCAGGAGACCACAGCGCAGCAGGCCCGGGAAAAGAAACGGGTTCAGCTGCCCCCAAGTACAAATACCCTACCGACAAGGGCCAGTCTGTGGAGGTAAGAGGGGACTTTAAACTCTAGTGGGGGCAACATTAGGACACTACTGAGGGCTCTAAGCAGGGAGTAGCAGGCTCGGATCCAGAGCAGAGAGATGTTTGGTGACCTTGTGCAAGAGATGAGGACGGCCTGGGGCATGACCCGGGAGGCACTGCTGAGGGGGTGGAAGGTGAAGGGCCCCCAACAACACGATGGATGGGATGGAAGCTCCTGCCTAGGAGCTGCAGGAGTAGGGATGTAGGGGGAGGGGTGTGTGTGTGTGGTGGTGTTGGTGGTGCAGGAATGGGTGAGGGGCTGACCCGGGTCCCTCGGAGTGAGACTGGGTTGGTGGCACAACACCGGGTAGGGAAGGGAAGGAAAGGGGAGGGGAGGGGAGGGGAGGGGGTCAGCGAGACCAAGGCCCGAGGGCAGACAGGGGGCAGATGCCACCGGGAAGTGGGGCCATAAGGAAGGGAAATCTGTCCTGGCTTTGGGCGCAGAGCAGGTCGGGTGCAGGTGTCCCCAGGAGGAGCCAGGGCTTGGGGTGAGGTGGAGGTGTGTGTGGCGGAAGGGGACGCCGAGCGAGTGAATTCAGAGGTGAGGGCGAGATGGTGAGGGTGGAGGTGGGCAGTAGCCAGGGATGACAGGCACGGGATGAGAGGGCGACTAGGGGCGGGTGGCGCGAGGCTGGGGTCCCAAGGGGGTCTCGGACCTCCGGGGCTTCCTGTCCGACAGGGAGAGGCGCCAAGGGGACCCTGCCTTCACCTTCGGAACCCGAGAAATCGGGGCCCTGGGGATGGCCTGGTCCCTCCCGAGGACTCGCGGCGGCTGGAGGTTACTGACGCCCCTCACCCTGTGCCCTAGCAATCAACGGTTCCGGCACCGGGTTCGAAGCCCCGGCTCCGCCCAGCCCCGCGCCCCAAGTGCCCGCACAGCCGGCTCTCATTACCGCCCCGCTCCGCCCGCCGCGCGAGCCGGGGGTCCCGGGGACGGCAGGGGGAGGGGCGGTAATCAATTCCAGGCCGGAAATTCCCCCCAAGGGGCCCTTGGTGGGCCGCGGGTGGGAGGGCTGGGGAGGCGGAGGGGAGCCCCGCACCGCCCCCGGCCGCCTGGCCCGCCCCCCGCATCATGGAAACTGGGCGGCCGGCCCGACCCCCCCCCCCCCGGCTTGCGCCACATTCCTACCTCCGGGGGCGCACGTGGGGAGCCCGGTGCCCCCAACCCCCACGCTCCCCGCCTCCTCTTCCCCTGGGCCTGCGCGCCATGCCGTGGGCTCTGCCCCGGGCGCCCCACGTGCGGGGCAGGCCGCGCTGGGCCGCCTTGCGGACGGACCCCTTAGGCCCACAGGGAAGAAATACGGAGGTCCAGGCCAGGCGGGACTCGGGTGGCCTCCCCGGTGCCCGGAAGGAGGCTCCGCCGGCGGTTCGGTCGGTCCGATGGGCGGGCCGGGGAGCCCTGGGCTCCGGGCCCGTGTGTCCCGTGGTGGGCGAGGGGCGCCTCCCCGGGACTTGGCGAAGGACCAGCGATGAGGGTGAGGGGGTCTTGGGGTGGCAGGACGCGAGCCCCGGGCGTCCCCTCGGAGCCGAGCGGCCGCCCCCGGGCCGAGGCCAGCCCGGGTCGCGGGGTCCCTGGGGCTCCCGGGGGCGGGGCGGCGCGGGGCGGGGCCGGGGGCGGTTCCGGGGAGACCCTGGCGGCGCGCGGCCCGCGGCGCGCGGACACCGACCCGGACCCGCCCGGGCGCGCCGGCGCCAGGTGAGCAAATGCGGGCCCATGGACTCACCTCCGCCCCCCAACTTTCCCTAACTTTTGGCTCAATCCCCTCCCCCGACGGGAAGGTTCTCTGGTCCTGCCTTTGCCCCGGGCTAGAGTGGGGTCTCGGATAGGGAACTCGGCCCCGCACAGCGGCTCTCGACCTGGGCCGTCGGGCGCGCCGTTTGCGTTTCTAAGTGCGCTGGGGGTGCCGCTCAGCAGGGTTTCGGGGCTATCCTGGACATGCCCTCTCCACCTCACCCCCGCTCTATTCCGCACGTTTGAGCCTCTCTCGCGTCGGGGACACCGCAGCGACTCGAGGCGGGGGTGACCCTTCTGGAGTTGTGGCCGCAGTTCTGGGTAGAGCGGGGTGGTCACTTCTCTAGCTTTGGCCTGGGAAGAGGACTTCCTGCTCTGGGTTAAGGGGGCAACGGGCCTGCTGGCTGTGACGAGAGATGCGAGTGCCCAGAGCAGGGACCCGGGAGTCTGTGGTGATGTGACCCCACCAGGCCCTCGGTCTCCAGGGCGAGTCTCCATCCGTGGGAACCAGACTTGGACGCAGTGGACCGAGGCGGTGGGGGCCAAGAGTCATGCTTTGATCTTTGGGGGTGCGGATGGCGCCGGGAGGGGTGGCAAGGCCTCCTCCCCCAGGCCTTGGCTCTGTCTCGGGACCCGGGGAGGGAGACGAAGCTCGACAGCTAGGTCCCGGTCCTGGGAGCCCGTGTCCTCCCACGTGTCCTTCTTTTGTGGGAGCCACACACACCTCGCGCCGCCCGGCTTCTCGGGCCGGTCCGGACCCAGTCCTCAGGCCGCAGGTTGGGCGCGGGCAGCAGCGAGGAGGGCAGGCTCGGGCTGTGCGGGGGCCCCGACTGCTCGGGGCGGCGCTGCTCTGGCCGGGACGCGGGCCACGGGGGCCTCGGGTGGCGGGAAAGGGGGATGATTCATCCCAAGAAACCCGACTCGGAAACGCGGCAACCTAGAAACAGCCCTGCCGGGGCCGCCCCGAGAGCCGCGGGAGGAGTCTGTCCGGCGAGGTTCCGCGCCCGGCCCCGGCCGCTGCCAGCCTCCTCGCCCGGCCACTGGGGGAGTGGCGGATGGTCTGGGGGAGGGGAGGCTCCTTCTGCGCGGAGTCGGAGAAAATCCCGGGAAGAGGCCGCCGCTGCCGCCTCGCCTGCGGACCCCAGGCTGCTCTCGATCGGAGCTGTCTCCCCCCGTGGTCCAGCTCGAGACTCCCTGCTGCAGCTTCAGCGGTGACCAAGGTGGTCTGCAAGGAGGGGGCGGACAGGGAGGGACTGCAGTCGGGACCACCCCCTCCTTTCACGCTGCGGTACGTACGCCTCCATAGGAGGAGCCGGGACCCGCGAGCGTCCCAGTGGCCCCCCGAGTGGCCCAGAGCGCCCCCTCCCTCCTGCACTACGGGGCAGCCACGTGCGGGGGTGGGGTGAACCCATGCGGTACTTACCCCGCCGGGGACGCCGCTGCTCGGCCTCGCGCATCCCGAGGCCGCCGAAGAGGGTACGGGCTGCTCGAGCCGGGAGCCGGGAACCCAGGGATGCGCCAGGGAGCAACCGGCGCGCCCCTTCCCGCTTTCCTACGCGCGCGGGCCCAGCCAACTCGGGCTTGTGCCGCGCGTCCCTGGCTCCGAGCTCCGCTGCGGAAAACCCGAGCGGGGGCGGCTCCCCGCCTCGCTGCCCGGGAAAATCCGGGGGTGGCCGCCAGGGATCTCCAAGCGGTCCGGGCAAGGCGACCTGAGCTTCCCTCCCGGATTTGGACCACAAGCCTGGCGCTCGGAACCCAGGCCCGTCGATTCACTCTCTGCCTCATTCGCACCCTCTCTCTGCAGAGTGCCCTGACGACGGCGGGATGACGGCTGGGAGTCCCGGAGACTGCACCGAGGTGCGGAGGAGCCCCGAAGGCCGCGTCTCTCGCCTGGGCCGCCGCCTCGGTCGCCGCAGGCGCCCACGCTCTCCGCCGGAGCCTCTGCGGGTGCGGGCACGGCTGCGGCTGCGCTCGCCGTCGGGGGCGTTCGCGGCGCTGGGGGCGCTCGTGGTCCTGGTGGGCATGGGCATCGCAGTGGCCGGCTACTGGCCGCACCGTGCGGGGGCTCCTGGGCCCCGAGCCGCCAACACCAGTTCACATCCCGTGAGCGAGCTGCGGCGCGAGGGTCGCGGCGCCGGCCGGGCCCACGGCCCGCACGAGCGGCTGCGGCTCCTGGGACCGGTGATCATGGGTGTTGGCCTCTTCGTGTTCATCTGCGCCAACACTCTTCTCTATGAGAACCGGGACTTGGAGACAAGGAGGCTCCGTCAGGGGGTACTGCGTGCCCAGGCCCTGCGCCCCCCCGACGGGCCCAGCTGGGACTGTGCACTCCTTCCCAGCCCCGGCCCCAGGACTCCCCGAGCCATAGGTTGTGCAGAGCCAGAAACCTGGGACCTGTCCCCGCGTGGGGGAACCTCACCTGTCCCATCCGTGCGGAGTCTGCGTTCAGAGCCTGCTAACCCTCGCCTTGCCTTGCCTGCCCTGCTCAACAGCTACTCGCTTAAAGGCCAGGGGCTGCCCCCACCGTGGGGTACACGGACCCAGACTGGCCACGTGATCATCACCGTGCAGCCCTCTGGCTCCTGCATCGAACATTCCAAGTCTCTGGATCTGGGCCTTGGGGAGCTCCTCCTCGGAGCCCCCGCTGCTCGGGACTGTGCTCACCGGAGCTGGCCTCGCCTGGACCGCCTCAGTTTGGGGGGCTATGCCAAGCTAGGAGGTGGAGGCGACTTGGGAGCCCAGGTCTGAGGATTGGGAAGACAGCTTGCCTGCGAGGCTGCAGCATGGACCCTGGTGACAGGACCATGGGACCAGGAGTCTGTCTGGTGGACACTTGTCACACCCCAAGCTGGAGCTGGAAGCTCCCCGGCCTGTGTGTGAGCAGGGAAGTGACAGTTGCACTGGAAAGGGGTTCAGCAAGCCTGAGAGGGTTTGTCTGAACGTGGAGAGTGGAGACCCCCATCCCTCTGGAATTTCATCTGCCTCCAGATGTGGCCTTAGGCAGGAACCTGAGGTGGGTTGGAGGTCCAGGCTAAGGTGATCCATCAGGGAGGATGCACCTCCTGTCCTGGCATGGCCCCAGGGGTGAGCGAGGGCTGCTAAGACTTGAAAGGTAGGTTGAGATGTTCCAAGCCTGGCTAGTCTCCCTCCAAGGCTGCCCTGGTGGTGGGGTCAGGCCACAGGAACCCAGGTGCGCAGAGGAGTCAGGCCACAGGGAGGGTGGGCAGAGTGAAGCAGAGACCATCCACTGCCATCTGGGATGGGCCTGAGCGCCCTGCTCCCAGCACTCAGTCCCCTCCTGCCCTCAGCAGTGCAGGGTCTGCCTACTAGGCCTGCACCACTGCCAACGCCTCCACACTGAGGCCTGACCCCTCCCCACACAGGAGCCCCCCCGCCAGCTGGACTGAGCCTGGTCTGACCTCAGAAGTCCCCCTGGCAGTGCCAAAGCTACCTGTTGGCCGACGCGGGGGCGGCAGAGAGGAGGGGGAGGGTTAGGGCTCCCCCACCTGTGTTTGATTTTCCCCAAGTTACTGGGAGGAGACAGATTTAACAACTAATCAGTCCTCAGTCCTTTTTTTTTTTTTTTGAAGTTTATTGAAAAATGCAATACAAGAAGCAAGACCAGATACATATCTCAGCACTACAACCACTTTTCTTACTACAAAAGGCCAAACAGCAGACCTAATTATTGCCTATTTAATCTAAAGAGTTTTGCCAATTTGATTCTGCTGCCATAGTTCCTATTTTGTCAAGAAATGTAAACTACTTGATATGATTCATAATTTTTAAAAAATTTTACAAAGCTCCTTCATTTTTGTCACCAAAATAATACATTTGAGAGAGATATGTCAAAAATCACCAGCCCTGGGCAGATTTCCCAGGGGTGCTGAGAGGTGCTGGTGTGTGGTCACAGCTCTGGCTGCATCCCCGCAGGGCATGGGGCAAAGGCACCCTGCTGGACCCGTCATTTAGGCTCCCTGAGCCCTCAGCTTTGTGGAGGGGTGGCAGAGATCTTGCGTGGCTTGGGGGGAGATCTTTTGTTTCTCAAGCGAAAATAAAATTGCAGCAGGAGCTGTTGCTGTGGTGTGTCTGAGTCGCTTTAGGAAGACACTGTTAAGCGTCTGACTCTGGAAATGGTCACTTCCCTTTCCCTGCACCGTGGCTACCTGGACAAGTGTGCTTTTCTTTACACACACAAACACACGCCTGCAGAAAGGGGGGGGAAAATGCAAACAATGGCCAAAATTCATGATTTGGAAAGGCAGGAGAGGTCTCTGGCGCGCTCATTGGACAGCAGTTGGAGGAGGCGAGCTGGCCACTGAGCTGATGGCACCTGGAGACTCCCAGGTGCAGGCCAGAAGAGCTGCTACACTGTCATTTTCCTCTTTTAAAAAAATATTTCTATCTACTTGAAAGGCAGAGTAAAAGAGATTCTTTACCTATTGATTCACTCCCCAAATGCCAACCATAGCCCGGGGCCAGAGACCAGGAACTCCATCTGGGTCTCCTTCTGGGTCTGCAGCATCATCCACAGCCTTCCAGGAGACTCGCTGGGGACATCTGTACCCTCCCCTTCCCCACCCTCACTGCACGTGTGTGAGCTCACAGTCCATGCTGGCTTGACCTCAGGTGGATTTCCTGGCAATGTGGCTCTGGCTTGGGCACTGCCCTGACAGGCCGGCCCCTTCAGACCTTACCTTTGCTCCTTCCCCCAAGCCTGTCACCCGCCCCCACCCCTTACCAGCACCCTCTCTTTCCCTCCTTCACTAAGGAGCTGCCTACTGGTAGAACAGTCCTACGTGAGAAGGGAAGGAATGATGCACACCTGAATTTGTTCAGTGTGCTGGGTCTGTCTGCGCAAACTCCACAGGGACAGCAGACACATGGCTGCTGGCTCCTATGGCGGGGTGGGGGCTTGTGCTCACTCACTGCCCTTGACCCCAGCAGTGGATGTCTGTGACTCATGTCTTAACTCATGAAGTTTACATGTAAGCCTAGAATTAGGATCCTAACAGGCTGCCAGGCAGATCTGTTTGTGGGAAGCAAGCCGGAAGCTGAGAGAAGTCCTATTGAACTGAAACCCAAATGCTTACCAGGATTTGAGGACATTAGCCTTATTTGCAAAATCAAAACCAAGAGAAACAACAACTAAAGCCCAAGCCCACCACAAACTCAAGCATACAGACCCTTACAGACCTTGGCTGGTCAGTGGGACCGAGCAGAGCTGGGGCCTGTACCCCTTGCCATGTGAGGGAAAGCTGAATTACCTAAATGGTAATTCCTTCTCCAAGGGTGTCTTTCGGCAGGCACCCGTTGGGAGCAAAGTTCTCAGGACACAGCCCTCTCCCACTACATTCTCCGTCACTGCAGGCGAGAGACAGTGAGTGGTCCCCGCAACTGGCTGTTAGGGGGATCCGACAGAGGTAAGCTCCACTCTCCCTCGTGTGACATGCACACCCCCTGGACTTCACCTCGCCGGCTTGTTTCTCTAAATCACCACATGTGTTATTACAGCTTCTGGCCAGAAGTGCCTATTTTCCTGTGAGTTTGGGTCTGAGATGGGAGCTGGGGAGGAGGAGGCGTGCCTTCTGACGAGGTAAATGGGCAGCTGGGGAGGTGAAGGCCACAGATATGTTCAAACATTCACAGTATCAGAGATCAGGAGCAACTGCCTAGGTCCTCAACATTAAAAAGCTCCAAAGAAGAATGAAAGAGGGGAGAGAGAGAGAGGAGAGAAAACCCCAAAAAACAAAAACAAAAACAAATCCCACTATATCCTTAGCCTCACCCCAAACCCTCAACAGACAGGAACGTTTTCCTGGGGTCTGTGGGTCAGGTAGTTGTCCTGCCAGACATTCTGGTAACATCACATTATTGGCTCTGAGAGTGCTGGTTCATGAAGTTGCTGCTGTCATCCAAAGGGCATCAAACCAGGGGCAGGAGGGGAAAGCAGGAAGACCTCTCCCAGCTGGCTCTGGCCTCCAACCGGGGCGACGGAGTCTGGAAAGTTCCCTGAAGGGGTCTGTGGACCCTGTCGATATCTGGGTTGGAAATCGGTGAGGAGAGGCTAGGTGCAAGCGGTTACAAATCACCCCATGGGGAAAAAAAAAATTCTCTAAAAACTGTAGACAGAAAAGTTGAATAATTTCTGGTATCATCCTATAGAAAAAGGTCTTCAAAAGTATCTAGAAGAGTCTCTTGATATAAACTCCAAATAGAAAAGGAATCTCATTTTCTGGCGGTTTAGGGTCATCTTGCAAGTCTGCAGGTGAGCTTCGGCATCATTTCTCTGGTTTCTCGTGGAGGGAGGAAGGCAGGGAGTCGGGGCGGGCTAGTTCCTACAGGAAACAAAGAGGCACATTTTTAAAGCCTGCCAAGGACCCACCGCCCAGTTTCTGTTGGCCGAACAGCCCGAGTGGCATCACAGAGCTCTGAGCGCGGGGAGGATGGGCTGCCTGCTCGTGGCCCCTTCCAGTCACTAGTCCCCAAAGTGGCTTCCTCACCTCCAACCTTCCGCTCGGCTCTTGGAGCCTCAGTGATTCTCCTCTCCCCCACCCTGTCCACTCTCCACCTCTAGATAGAGTGGCCCTTGGTTTTGTTCTCTTCTGGCTGTGCCACGGTCACTCGTGGATGAGCCTGTGACACAGCGGAGGGGGAAGGGCCTGCAGAGGAGGAGGAGCGGAACTGCAGGGGGTGGGTAGGTGTCCACATCCACATCTGGGGGCGCTCATCCTCCCCACACTGCTGGCACCCCGAGGGGCAGCAGGATACTAGGACCTGGCTTTAACTGGAGCCATTACGTAACCAGCTCCTCTAGCTTCTCCCCTCACCCCTCCTCTGTCTTGACTTTAATCAAATCCCAGTGTGGCCCCCCTCTAGCACAGGCCCCTTGAGACCCAAGGCTCCTGCCAGAGCTCTCTCAGTGGGGATGGGGTGGACCCTGGAAGCCACTGGGAGCAGCCAGACCTGAGCTCAGTCCTCAGCAATCTCGGTCTCCTGATGGACGACCACCTTGGTCACGGACATGTCTGGGTGCTGTTCCTTTGCCTCCTTGATGGCTTGGACAAGGACCTGTGGGAGACAGGAACAAAAATCCATCAGGCAAAAGGGGGCCGCGCTGACCAAGGCAAGGTCACAGAAGGGGACTGCCCTGAGGCCCCGGCCAGCTCAACCCTCCTGTCTGCTGAGGCAGGTGGTGCTGAGGCTATGCCATGGTTCCTTTAGCCAGCCCATCCTGTGCAGGGAGAAAACAAGCAGGCCACAGAGGAGTGGCAGCAGTGTCTTGAAGGATGCAGAGGGGTTTCGGGGGTGGCACTGCATGGCCCTGGCGGGCTGTGAGAAGACCCTCCTGGGAGAGAATGGAGGAGACCCAATGCTCAGCATGAGGCAACCTGGAGCTCTGGGATAGGAGAGGAAAGTAAGACCTGTGCTACAGAGAAGGAGAGGTGGTTTTAGCTTAAGCAGGACGAAGGAATGAAGAAATAGATCATGTGGTAAAGTACATAAGTAGATACAAATTTCTTAGAAATAAAATATCCTTTTTGCATCTTAATGCAATAATGTACTTTATATAAAGACATGGTGGGATTACAAACAGAAATTTTGTAGATAGTTTGCAAAAATAGAATGCTTATCATATGCCATGTATTAGCCTAAGCACATTAACCATTTACTTTCTTTTTTTAAGATTTATTTTATTGTTATTGGAAAGTCAGATATACAGAGAGGAGGAGAGACAGAGAGGAAGATCTTCTGTGTAATGATTCACTCCCCAAATGGCCGCAATGTCCAGAACTGAGCCAGGAGCTTCCTCTTGGTCTCCCACACGGGTGCAGGGTCCCAAGGCTTTGGGCCATCCTCTGCCACTTTGCCTGGCCACCAGCAGGGAGCTGGATGGGAAGCAGGGTCATTGGGACATGAGCCAGCACCCATATGGGATCCTGGCACATGCAAGGCAAGGACTTTAGTCACTAGGCTATCTTCTTGGGCCCTCATTCACTTCTCATTTACAAAAACAATGCAAAAGGGTAGCATCATTATGTCCATTTTATACATACAAAAATTGGATTCAGTAGTTACATAAAGTGCCAGTTTCACAGCCAGTAATGCAATAGTGATTTTAGCTCAACTGTAGGTTTTCCTGTTTACCAAACTGTCCTTTGTTCTCCAAGGTGAGCATTTGGAGTAGTTTTGGTTATTCTAGAAAAGCTAAAGAGAGAAGGAAAGTCAACAGGCGAGCTGGGACCTTCCTCAGCATGGTTTATATTGCCCTCTATCAAAAAGAACTCCAGCTGGAATTGACCAACCTGTCCCCCTCGCTCTTAAGAGCCATCTCCCAGCCAGAGAGAGAGAGAGAGAGAGAGAGAGAGATTTTTCATCTGCTGGTTTGCCTGTTCATCTCCCAGAGGCCCACAATGATGGGGACTGGGCCAGGCCAAAGCCAGGAAGTCCATCTGAGTCTCCAGCTCGGGTGGCAGGAGCCCAAGCACCTGGGCCACCCGCTATTGCCTTTGCAGGTACATTAGTCAGAAGCAGAGCAGCTGCGACTTGAACTGGTGACCTGAGATGGGATGTGGGTGTCTCAGGAGCATCACTAACTGCACTACAACCCTGGCCCTTTGGTTTACGCTGCCCACTTTCAGCTCTCTGGGAAGCCATCTCTGTACCACCTTCCTAAAGTGCTCCCTTCCCAGCCAGGGAGCATTGCGTCACATTCTTCTCATGGATCTCACAGAGAATGAAGGAACCTAGAGCACCTCTCTGGACTATCAAGGGTACATGTCCTTTGTCACAACAACCCTGGAGGAAGGCGGGGAGGATCTTCACGTTATAGGTAGGTGATACTACACCTCAGAGAAGTGATGCAAGTCTCTCCAAGGCACACTCACCAGGTCTGCTTCATGCCAGGTTCCAAACACCCTTCCCCCCTGCCGTGACTGGGGTAGACTGAGCAGAGAGCTGGTGCTCCAATCCCATCGCACTGAGGAAGAAGGTGCAGGCTGGCACTGCAGCAGGAGCACTGAGCTGGGCAAGCAGAAGCTTCTCACTCGGCTTTACCGCCTTGTTCTGGAACCCTGAGCCCAGTATCCTGAGCTGTAAATCCCAGCCTTGCTGCCAAGGGGACTGCCAACACTGCGGCTCACTGTCTCTTTTTTAAAAGACGTTCAGCACATCAGCATAAAGGCCAAGAATTACTGCTGAAGCAATGTGTCAATGATTCCAGGAGCATTTGCATGCTGTCGCGTCCACCCCCTCTCCTCTGCTGCTGTGCTGCTCTTACCTCACCCACCAGAGAACGGGGAATATTAATCTTGACCTTATTATTCGATAATTGCTTGTAGCATGCAATTAGCACCTAATTAACATAAAAATATAGACCTAACATAAAAATCTAGATCAACCTAGTCTCTTTTAGGAAAGGAAAAAAATAATCAGAGTTAAAGTGATTTGCCCAAGGACACACAGCAAGTCGATGAGAGATCCAGGACAGAACTCGAGTTTCAGGCCTCTGGGTGTCTAGTCCATCACACCATATTGCCTGATGGTCTCAGCAGCTGGCATGGGCTCTGAGGGCAGGACTACACTGTCCTTCTAGCTTAGGTTTAGGTACACTCTCCCTCCCAGACAATAACAGTCTCACTGACTTGGAGCCCACTGTGCTGTGCATCCAGTATCTCACTTGATCCTTAAAACAATCTGTGAGCAAGGTTCAGTAACCTCCAACTTACGGTGGGGAATGGGGTGCTGGTGAGCAAGTTAAGAACCAGGATGGAGTAAGGAAACAGCATTGAGCTAAAGTGTTCCCACCACACTCCTGGCTCCCCATCTACAGCCCCACCCTACCGCCCTCTGTGCCTTGATCCCCAGGGATGCTGACTTCACTAAGAAGCTAATGTTACCTGAGCAGCTCTTAGAGTGAAGAGAGTACAGGCACCCTTAATCTTTCTATCCGCACCCCCAAACCCGAGTCCAGAACCTCCTCAGCATTCCCACCTGGTCATGGTCAATATCAGCATCTCCTGTGATCACAATTCTCTTTTCAATCCGGGTCTCAGAAATTCCACCTTTGACAGTCTGCAACCAAAGGGATGGAGTTACAAGAGATCAACAATATAATGAGAAACAGAGAAAAAGCAAAGATTATGCGAAAGCTTCACTCCAAATTTTAATCTGCTGCTGTGCACACACAGAGAAGCCTTCTTGCCCACTCGCTCGTCCTGCTGAAACGAGCACATCTCCGCTCTCGTGGGCGGCCGATGTCTCCAGGAGCCAGGCAGAAAGCCACAATTCTCTGTTTATTTACTTTCTCCTTTTTCCTTCCTCCCAAACACCAGAGAAATAGAATAAGCAAATACAACTGGTCTCTTTGCTGTTTCTATTCATTTTGATTATTTTTAAGACATAAATGTCTGAAAGCGTGAAACTGGGCTTCTATTTTAAAATATTTTCATATTGTGAATATCAAAAGAGTTCTAAATAATCTCCTGAGGACAGGCAGGTCTCTCTGATACAGGAGGAAATCTGAAGCCCAGGCACATTAACTAGTGTGTTGATGACAGAGCTCTGTCAAGAATAAATTTCTTACCTACGAAAAAACATGCATTTCTCTAGTCTCTGACAAACAGGGTTTGCCTCTGGTTTTCTGGGGGGGGGGGGGGGAAAGCAGTTCCACTGCAGGATTTCTTCTGCTTCCTATTTCCCATAAATCACACTCTACATGGCAGCATCTAAGCTCCAGTTCCCATGGCCTCAACCCTGGACATGACATAAAAATGCAAATTTTTGACTAAGAAATATGTTGCATAATAATACCAACCGTATGTGCTCTGGAGCTGAGGGACACAAAGGGAGACAAAAAGAGGGTTCTCTTCTACTGGTTTTCTCCCCAAATACTACAGTCACAGTCAGCCCAGATTAATAAACCTGGCTGCTGGAAACTGAAAGCAGCTTTCCCACAGGGCTGGCAGAGACTCCTTGAACTGCCTCCCAGTGTGGACGTTAGCAGGAAGCTGGGACTGGAAGCAGAACTAAGGCCTGGATGCGCATGTGGGTCCCTCAAGTGGTGATGAGTCAAACACCTGCCCTAGCTGGCGTTTTACAGGGTCCTCACTGACCACAGACGCAGACAAATGTGTCAATAGGACAAAGGCTGTCTGAGACTGCCAAGTAGGCAAGGATGCTGCCAGAGTCTCCTCTGGTGGCCGAAGCAGCAGTCTTCCCATGTGGACAGCTGGCATAACCTGGTGCAATGGAGGGGGTGGTGAAAGCCGTCCAAGAGGCAGCAGCAAGCTCAGTCTCGCCTGGGCTGTTACCTTGGTAATCTGAGTCGTGGTGGTGCTGCTTGTGGTCTCGGACGTGATGGTCTGAGCTGTCAGCAAGATGCCTGGGTCCAAGTCCCCATTGCTGTCGTCAGTCTGTGGAAGCAAGCACAAAGCAGTGTGATTCCTCTCAGGAGATGGTGGCTGCCGACGCAGCTCTGCTCTTCAGTGTGTGTGTTCTCAGAAATACAATCTAATACAATAAATGTGCTGTGAACGGGGTCCCTTTTAAGGAAGCTGGGTCCGTGGCGGGAGTCAATCAGAAAGAAGTTGGAGTGCAGCCACAGATTCCAGCCCTGTGTGTACAGGTGTGCAGCATTCTTTAGCTTACACATGGCTTTGCAAACACTATCTTTGTTGATGCAGACACTGGCCCTTTGCAATTCAGAGGGAAGGAATGAATGCCTTAGCATCTCTGTCAGGAAAAAATTCAGCTGGGAAAGGCCATTGAGCGATCTGTCCAGAGACTCAAAACTAGCAAGTAGTGGCTGTTTACAGATCTGGTATTCTTTATACCGTGTCCAAGGCAGGAAAAGTATAAACTCCTGGTTGCTAAGGCATGAGTATGTTCTAAATCATACAAGACACCTTTCCAGAAAGAACTCGGAAAGGGCTTTGTTGGGTTTAAGGGACTAAGAAGCAAATCTCTGGCCATTTTCTTTTAAAGACTGAGATGGGAGACTGAGGTAAATGAAGTAAAAAATGTTCTATTAAGAAAAAGGAGAGGGCCCGGCACGGTGGCCTAGAGGCTACTGCCTTAAACACGCTGGGATCCCACACAGGTGCCGCTTCCCATCCAGCTCCCTGCTTGTGGCCTGGGAAAGCAGTCGAGGATGGCCTAAAGCTTTGGACCCTGCACCCGCATGGGAGACTGGAGGAGGTTCCTGGCTCCTGGATTCAGATTGGCTCAGCTCCAGACATTATGGCCACTTGGGGAGTGAATCATGGGACGGAAGATCTTCCTCTCTGTCTCTCCTCCTCTCTGTATATCTGACTTCCTAATAAAAATAAACAAAACTTTTAAAAAAGTATGAAAAAACACTCACAGTACATCTTACTGACATTTCTGAATATAAAACTCTGATGGACAGGGAGCCTGCTTATGAGTTCCTGCTCATTATGAGACTGTTATATCAGGGCAGAGAAAAGGTTTACACAGGGAACAGGGCTGGGCCTGATCTGCCTCCCCGGAGGGCATTATTTACAACCAAAGCATGTTATCATCAGGCTGAGAAGTAAATCAGCAGGGCCTAGCGCGATAGCATAGTGGTTAAAGTCCTCGCCTTGCACGTGCTGGGATCCCATATGGGTGCTGGTTCTAATCCCGGCAGCCTCGCTTCCCATTCAGGTCCATGCCTGTGACTTGGGAAAGCAGTCAAAGACGCCCAAAGTCTTGGGACCCTGCACCCTCCTGGGAGACCTGGAAGAGTTCCTGACTCCTGGCTTCGGACTGGCTCAGTTCCAGCAGCTGTTGCGGTCACTTGGGGAGTGAACCATTGGATGGAAGATCTTCCTCTCTTTCTCTCCTCCTCTCTGTATATGCATCTTTCCAATAAAAATAAATAAATCTTAAAAAAAAAAGCAAATCAGCATAAAGGGAAATAGATGGGTAGTGGGGGCCACCTGATCCTGCTCAACAGTGATCAGCAAATGCCTGAGCTGTCAGTGGGCCTGGAGTCGCTGATCAACCCCCCACAACCAAGATGGAAACGCCTGGAAGCGTGGCATCTGCCCACCACAACACACTTCTCAAATAAACCGACCCAGGGAACCCATTACTGGTAATGTACACTGCCTCAGAGAGGGATTTCAAAACCCGCAGCCGTCCCCACAGAGAAGCTGGCCACAAGTCACGTGTGGGGCTGCTGACTTCTGCTTGCTCACGTGTGCCATTTGGATCATAAACAGAGGCCACCAACATTGTTAGGAACAGGGCCACAATTCAAGCCAAAACTCTGGGATATTAGGGAGAGGGGCAGAAGGAAAACAGAGTTAGTAGGGAACAGAGTCCTTGGCTGGGCTTCCCCCGAGGGGGGAATCTGGACAAAATCCGAGCTAGGGACACGGCTGTGACACCGACACAGTCTCACGCAGCACTGCCGTACCAGGTATACCATCTCGTTTCCCAATACTTCTTCAGCCAAGACCACTCAGATTCAGACAGAATTTACATTCTCCTACTGTGTGCCAAGCAGGTCATGTAATTGTATTATGCTTTTTAATATCTGAGGTGGATGCTGTTATTGTTATACTCACTGTGTAGTAAGAAAAGTACTACCCAGAGAGGTTAAGCAACTTGTCCAAGGTTTTACTGCTAATAAGTATTTGAACTAGGGCTTAAGGCGGAAAGGTTAGATTGGAGTCTTAATTCAGACAGGAACTAACCCTGGGCCCTTGGGAAATACATTCTGACTCTCAATTTCAGTTTTCTCTCTATAAAATGTAGACACTATAATATTTTCATTTATGAAACCAATACTGTAATACAAGGGTATTTTTAAAAGTCCATGGAAGTGGCCAGCAATTTGGTACAGTGTGTTATTCCACTGTCTGCAATGTTGGCATTCCATATGGGCAATGACGGTTCGAGTCCCGGCTTTTCCAGTGGCAATCCAACTCCTGCTAATGGCCTGGGAAAGCAGCAGAAGACAGCCAAAGTACTTGAACTCCTGCCATTCATGTAGCCTTTGGGGGAGTGAACCAATAGGTGGAAGATTCTTCTTCCTTCTCTCTCTGACTGTCAAATAGATAAATAAATCCTTTAATTAATTAATTATTTTAAAAGAGAAAGTGCAAGGAAAATGACAGGCATTTGGTATAGTAGTAAGACTACCTGGGATGCCTACATGCCATGTTGGAGCGCCTGGGTTCAAGCCTTGACTTGGCTCCAACTCCAGTTTCCTGCTAAAGTGCACCCTGGAAGGCAGCAAGTGATGGCTCAAGTACCCAGGTCCTCAGCACTGTGCGGGAAGCCTGGACAGAGATCCAGGCTCCCCGCTTTGGCGTGGCCCAACCCGGGTTATTGCAGGATATATATATATACACACACACACACACACACACACATATGTGCACGCGCTTATTTTGGTGCAAAAATTTTTAAATCTATGCTTACTTTTTTCTAATATATATTTTCCACTAACTTTGTAAAGATCTCTTATATGCATGCTTTCAGCAAATTTTACACCAAAGAAACCTTATCTTTCAATTCCATTTCTGTATTATCTTTTTTGAAGTATCCGTGTATATGTTCTGCCTATAACATAGCATTGCTGTGAAGATCAAGATAAAATGTAGAAACGAAAGCACTTTATAAATTATTGTATCAATGTGCAGGCAAGGAGGGCTAAGCCCTTCTGAAGATCTCCTCCTCTATACACCGGGAACTCCACCTGTGCCCTCCTCCCACCTTTTCCTTTATTCAACTTCCTGTTGAAGAAGGTGGAGGAGACACTGTTATGGTTCATGGAGCCCCTTTCTTCCCTTCTCCTAACAGTGTTGCCTCAAAATGGTACCATGGCTTTGACATTTGCTTACAAAATTAAGCATCCATCATCCTAGGACCCTGCAATTCTACAACAGGGGTATTTTCATACAATAGCATATTATTCAGCGATTAAAAAAAGAGCAGGGCCCGGTGTGGTAGCCTAGTTAGATAAAGTTCTTGCCTTGAATGCGCCAGGATCCCATATGGGCGCTGGTCTGTGGCCTGGCACCCTACTTCCCAACCAGCTCCCTGCCTATGGCCTGGGAAAGCAGTCGAGGATGGCCCAAAGCTTTGGGACCCTGCACCTGCAAGGTGACCTGGAAGAGACTTGGGGTTCCTGGCTTCGTATCGGCTCAGCTCTGGCCATTGTGGTCACCTGGGGAGTGAATCAACGAATGGAAGATCTTCCTCTCTGTCTCTCCTCCTCTTTGTATATCTGACTTTATAATTAAAATAAACAAATCTTAGAAAAAAGAGCAAAATAACAATTCACAACTTGGGTGAACCCAAAATAATTATGTTCAGAGAAAGAAGTCAGAAAGAAGAGTATACCACTATAGACTTCCATTTAGAGGAAGTCTAAAAACAGGCAAAAAATACATTTGTGGTGGCAGACCTCAGAGCAGTGGCTGCCTGGAGGAAGAGGCACTGAGCGGAAAGGGCTGATGGAAGTTTCACAAGTACTAGCAGTGTGTCCTGGTCCCGCAGCTGTAGACATTTGTCAAGACTGATCAATCAAGCAATCAGAAGCTCAATTTTTCTGTCTGCAGATTTTTCTCTCTCCCTCCCCATAGTCACAAACAATTCTACCCTGACGTCCTATTTCCTTTCATGCCATTTCCCAAAGCATGAGGAATAAATACAAATGGGTCCTGGGACTTACATGTCAGGAAGAATAATGAAAACAAAAGCAGAAGCTGCTACCTTAATGACTAAATAATCCTCACAGCAGGTAGATAGCGGGCACTTATTGTGTGCCAGATACTCGGGGAGCATTTTCTGTACCTTAACTTGCTGACTCCTCACAAGGGCCCTTTGAGGTAGACCAAGTATTACTGCCTCATGTTTTGAAAGTAAAAAAAGGAAAGTAATTTGACTGCATATTAGCCAAGTGATGGTACAGGTTCAAACCCAGGAAATCTGACTCTAAATTCAATTGTCTCCCCTATTCTACCCTGTTGTCTGGCAATTTTTATTTTGGCCAATTGTTTTAAGCCTGGTTAAAATGAAATAAGCAGAGATGCATAACAATAGAGTAACAGTTATCATTTAAAAAATCTAAATAACACACAATATTTATTATTTCTTTGAAAGGCTAAGAGATAGGCACACAGAGATTTTACATTCACTGGTTCACTTCCAAAATGTCCATAACACGTGGGGCAAGGCCAGGCTGAGGCCAGAAACTTGGGGCTCAATCTAGGTTTCCCACCTGGGTGGTGGGGACCCAACTACTTGGGCCATCCTGTGCCGCCTCCTAAGGGACACATTAGCAGGATGCTGAAGGCAGAAGTAGATGTGGAAGTCACACTCAGGCCCTGTGACAGGGGACGTGGGCTTTGCTGAGTCAGACCTGATTCCAGTAACGACCAATTTTGGAGTCCTGTGTGCCAGGTAAATACAGTTCAGTAACGCTATAGAAGTATTTGTCACAAGAGAAAACCAAGATTCAGGGATTAAATGACTTGCCCCAGGTCACCAATCAGCAAGAGTTGAATTAAGGCCCAAGTCTCTCCAATCCCCAGCACAGGTGCTCTCTCTTCACATCCTGTGCCTTTACTCCTTTATGCTTCTTCTCCATGTTAGAGGGTGAATGACTGACAGGCTATACTTGGACCACCTGATCTTCTGTGGGCACTTGTGACCCTGGCTTTTGAAACAATTCAGTTTGAAGCATTAACAGCTTACTGCATATATACTTGTATATGCTACAAAACTTAAAACCTTCAAAATGGTACAGTGAGAAGTCCGTCCCCCTCAGGTTCCTGATCAGACTTGCGGTCTCAGTCTTTCTCAGAGGCGACTGCGCTGCCTGCTCTCCTTTCCTTCTGGGGGAGAGGGGGAGGCTACTCAGAGTGTCCTGATGTACGCAAGCCTCCACATACACACATTTATTTTACTTGAGGTGGCAGATAGGGTGGGGGCAGGGGAGGGAGAGAGACCCTACTATCTGAGTCATTCCTTCAGTGTCCCAGAGACAGGAATTCAATTTCGGTCTCCACGTAGGACCCATCACTGCTGCCTCAAAGGGTGCACACCAGCAGGAAGCTGGGCTCAGGAATGCAGACAGGACTTGAACCCAGACACTCCTTCACGGTGTACAGATGTCCCAAGTAGCCTCCCGACTACCGTGCCAAACACGCGCTCTGTTTTTTCTTTACAGCACTTACCACTGTCTGAAATCTATTTATACATCTGTTTATATCTTATTGCCTGTATATCCTTACTGGACTACAAGTTCCAGAGATTAGGAATTGTGTCCACTTTGTACACTGTCTCTGCTCAATAATAAATGTTCAAAAATATTTCTTGCAGGAATGAATTAACAATTCAGTTTATAGAGGGAATACTTTTTTTTTTTTTTACTTTTGACTTCTGTGAACAACTTTAAAAAAATCAACATTAGCCTATGCAAACTTTCAGAAATAAGGCATGTTTACAAGCAGAAATATTTTTAAAATTTAAATAATTTAAATCCTACTAACAACATCACAGTATAGATGCTAACATTTCAGGCAGGGGAGATGAAGGCTCAGAGATGTTCAATAACCTATGCAAGTTGATAAATAAGGGAACCAGGGCCTGAGATCAGGTGTGTGGACCCAAGCCCCAAGTTCCAAATCATTCCACTAGATCGTCTTCCTCCAGTGAACTGGGCAGATCAATCAGATCCAAGATAATTTTGTTCTTGACATTAGATTGGTAATTTCTCTCAAAAAGAATTGCTCCAACAAATCTGAAAGTATCTTCAGCAAATGAAGGGAAATCCTATGAAGAAAGAAGGTTGTTTATAGGGGTTTACTCCAGTCTTTGGTTCTGAGGCAGCAAATCGTGTCCTACCTGGGCAGCCTCGTAAGTGATGGTCTTGGTCTCGGTGTGGACAATAGGCACATCTTTGGTTGGGATTTCACTTTTTACAGCGTTGGCAGTATCTGAGATGGTGACAGTTTGAGTCTTCACCAGGGGAGGCTGTGAACCAGTACAGAAACAGTTACCAGAATCTTTCAGAAGGCGTTGGAGAACTAGTCTTCTGACATTGATCTGATCAAAGTGATGGATTTAACTAAGAAAAGGGAAAGCTCAATTTCTCAAGGTGTTTGCTCCATCCTAGACCTGGAAACTCTTCCAAAAACAGCCCTGACAAGATGTCATGTCATGAGGGATATTTAAAAAGCAGCATTACTGTAATCACTTTCATAAGCTTAATGGAAAGCCATAAGATCAGACAGTTACGATCAGTAATATACAACACTCCAGACTGACCTTCATAATTTGAATATAAGACTATTTGCCAAATAGCAATCACTTTCATTTGTCCTTGCGATTGTACCATCATAATTAAGAAAATCAGCCACATTTCCTCTGCTAAGTACAAATGGTCCATGAAACAGCAGTGGCACTGGAATGCATTACCCTGGAATCAATTAACTTCTTTCAAATCAATGTCAGACATTCACTTTGCAGTTATCGAGAAGAAAGAATATTTGAAAAACTGAAAAGAAATCAGTTCTACCACCACCAGATGATTAATCTCAGAATTTAAAAGAATGAACATTAGTGAGACGTCAGAGGCCTTCTTGTCCACCTGCCCACCCTCCCCAAGACATAAATCACCCTAAAACTATCATTTGATTGGGATAAGATTAAGTGCCATCCACCTTAACATCTTAAGATGTTAAGTGCCTTGAGTGCCTAGGATCAGGGAAGCCCCCATGGGTGGGGTCAGTGGGAGTGGTGGCTGCAGCATGTACGTCTTTCCCTGGGATCTGAAATCTCAGAATGAAGATCAGTTGTCCCTTTTAATTAAGAGTGTTGGGAGTTTTGGAGCATGGTCTCAGAACACTGAAGGCTCCTCACCACCAGAGTCTCAAAAGTTCACGTCCTTCCTTTCAGAGTTAATACTCATGCAAGGAAAAGATGAAGACCACCAGCTTTAGAAACATACATTGCTGGGGTTTCCTCCCCAGATTTCTGTCATCAAGGAAGAAAGCATTTCTAGCCATGAAGTTAGTTGCACAGAATTTCTTTAGCGTGATCAAAGGGTCAAAGGCTTTAATTTTACTGTGTGAGCTTGAAGACATGCAGCAAGGCCACGACCCTCATGCCACCACCACTCTCACCAACACCAGCACTTTCTCCACAGAACAGATTCTGGCCCTTTCCCAAAGTGCCACGAGAGCTGCATCACCCAGTTACTACCTGGAAACTTCGAATGAGGGTGGGGAACTGGTTACCCACGTGAGAGTCAAGAAATGATCCATTTTGCTTCTCGTGTGGCTCTGCTGGTGCAATGTGTTCTTCACTACTCTGTGCCTTTTCCTCCCCAGGTTGCAGCGGGCAGGTGGCTGGTGGGACTGAGGAGTTGCAGGCACTGGCCTGTTCCTCCATTCCTATATATTCCCCACTTGGGACTCTCAGCAGATCCTTAGCATCAAAACAATCAGCTTCCCCCTGCTCCTTCTCTTCCATTTCCTTGCCGCTTACGAAGACGCAGACAGAGCCAAAGCTTTGTGGCGACTCCGCTGGGGCAGTCATCTGGCTCTCACTAGGAACTACCGAGTGTGTGGGGCCCTCCCAGTCAGAGTCAGGGTTAGATAGCCCCTTTGTCACGAGAGCCACCTCCTCTGTGCGAATGCCATTTATATTCTACAAATGAATAACAACACAAATGCAAGGTTAGTAATAACGGGGGGAAGAATATAGTAAATGATGAGAACCAGCAATGATTTTTAAGAAGCTTCAAAAACATTAATATTAAGATAAACCAAGGATCTTAGCTCTTTAAGTAGGCAAAAGGTAGAACTTGTTCACAATACACTACCAGTAGCTTAAGCAGTTTCAATATCATTCTGGTCATATTTTCATACATTATTCACTTGAGAGATAATTCCAATGTGCCTCTCACAGGACCTGGCACTGTGAGTGTTCCTATGAATGTCCCTGTAGGATAGATTCTTCCCATACTTAAAAGTTATTTTTGCCATTATTAAATATCTACTTCATTGCTACGCACAGGACAGAATGTAATTTATGAGTCAATCAAAACATATTCTTGGGGCTGGTGTGGCACAGTAGTTTAAGCCACAGCTTGCAACACTGACATCCCATATCAGAGTGCTAGTTTGAGTTCTGGAAGCTCTGTTTCTGATCCAGTTTCCTGCTAATACACTTGTGAAAACAATGGGAGAAGGTCCAAGTACTTGGGTCCTTAGCACCCATTCAAGAGACCCAGACGGAATTCCTGGCCCCTGGCTCAGCCTGGCACACCCATCTCTGTTGAGGCCATTTGGAGAGTGAACCAACAGATGGAAGATCTTTCTCTTGGTCTCTCCCTTGTTCTGAAAAGATATTCTTCAAATAAACATTTTTTATTTTTTAAAGTAGATAACACACGTTCTTGAGAAGGTTGATCAAGTTAAGAGACGTTTCATGTCGCCAAGTCATTTGTGTCAGTATTCATACCTAAGAAGGAAGCTGAAATCTAGACTTCGGTTAGCAGGGAGAAAGAAGCTGAGAATAGGCAGCACAGACTCACTCTAATTATTGTCATGGCATCAAACACAGCACCACAAAGAGCAAAATGTGGGGCAGGCACTTAGGCTGCTGACTATGATGCCCGCTTTCTGTAGCAGAGTATCTGGAGTCAACACTGGGCCCTGGTCCATGAGTGCTTCCTGCTGACTCTGGGAGGTGGCAGGGATGGCTCCAGGCCTTGGGCTCCTGCCACCCACGTGGGAGATGTGGCCTGTGTCACTGTCTCCCAGCTGCAGCCCCAGGGCTGATTGTTGCAAGCATCAGAGGAGTGTCTCGGCCTCTCAAGTAAATAGGCCATCTAGGGGTGAATATTTCTTTGTTTGCAGACTAAAAATGACCTGGCAACTCAGATGTATTTTTTTTTTTCTACAAAAATGAATGCCACAATACCAACCTCTAAGAGAAACAAATCCTGGTCCTCACACCACAGGAAAAACAGTTCCAAAGTAAACACCTCAGAGAGAATATGTCTGGGGGGATATCATCACAACGGATGGACCTGTTCTTAAAAGTTCAAATACAGGCGCTCTAGGCAGAAGAGAAGGCAGTCAATCACACCAGCAGGAAACGGACGCAGGCCATTTGAAAATGAGCAATCCAATGGAAGCCAGGTGTCATGGCAAGTGACATGCATGTGCTCACAGCAAAGCAGGCAACAAGCCATTTAGGCGTGAAGTTTTGCAAAGATCATGTTACTATATTGCACACTACATAGAGACTCTATAGCAAAAAAGTATTCCTGGAGTGAACAACATCTACTGAAAAATTCAATGTAGACTACACCTTCACCTGCAGCCGGCATCCCATTGGGGCACCAATTTGAGTCCTGGCTGTTCCACTTCCTATTCAACTCCCTGCTAATGGCCCAGGAAAGCACTGAAGGGCAGCCCGAATGATTGGGCCCCTGCACTAGGCTGAAGACCATGGTAAAAACTCCTGGCTTCAGACAGGTCCAGCTCTGCAACCATTTGGGAAGTGAACCAGCAGATGGAAGAATATCTCTCTGGTAACTCTGTCTTTTAAATAAAAAAATAAATCTTAAAAGCCAGTATCCCCTATGGGCACAAGTTTGGGTACTGGCTGCTCTACTTCCTGTCCGGATCCCTGCCAATGTCCAGGGAAAGCCATGGAGGACGGACCTTCTCTTTGGGATCCTGGATGAAGATCCTGGTTCCTGGCTTTGGTCTAGTGCAGCCTTAGCTGCTGTGGCCACTTTGGAAGTGAACCAGTAGATGGAAGATATCTCTCTTTCTGTCTCTCTCACTCTTTGCCTCTTCCTCTGAGTAACTTGACCTTTTAAATAAATAGGCCAGCTTTGCTCTTGAGCCATCTTGAAACGTGCAATTCAAAAACATTTCAAACAGGGACAAACTGACTGGCTGGTGCTACAGACAAGCCGGGCAAACTGTCACTTCCAACACTGGCATCCTACAAGGGAGCCCTGGTTTGAATCCTGGTTGCTCTATTTCTGATCCTGATTCTTGCTAGCATACCTGGGACAGCAATGGATGATGCTTCAAGTGCCTGGGCCCCTTCTACCTACATGGGAGATCCGTATGGAGTTCCTGATTCCTGAATTGAACCTGGTCTAGCCCTGGTATTTGTGATCTTCTGGGGATTGAACCATCATATGAAGATCTCTTTATCTCTGTCTATTTTTCCTTCTGTTTTGCTGTCTTTCAAATAAATAAAATAGATCTTTTACAAAAATATGAGATGGGCCCGGCGCAGTAGCCCAGTGGCTAAAGTCCTCGCCTTAAATGCGCTGAAACCCATGGGTGCTGGTTCACTGTTATAGCAGGCCCACTTCCCTCGCAGCTCCCTGCTTGTGGCCTGGGAAAGGAGTAGAGCATGGCCCAAAGCCTTGGGACCCTGCACCTGCGTGAGAGATCTGGAAGAAACGCCTGGCTCCAGGCTTTGGATTGGCTCAGCTCCAGCTGTTGCGCTCACTTGGGGAGTGAATTAGCGGATGGAAGATGTTTTTCTCTGTCTTTCCTCCACTCTGTAAATCTGCTTTTCCAATAAATAAATAAATAAATAACTTGAGACAAGTTGAACATAGATTGGGAGGATCTTTTGTTGGCTGATTAGGAATATTGCTTTAGGGTGTCCAACATTGAACTGAGATATTGGCAAAAGAATTATCTCTGCAGATTTAGCAGACACACACAAAATATTCTTCCCAAGGGCAAATACATTTCCTCTTATTTAAAGTGAGAGTAATACAAAGCTCTTTTAAAAGCTCATGGAGAATGGAATAAAAAGATGCATATTTTATTGCAGAAGAATTTAAAATTCATGCACAGTTTTTCATAATACATGTTTTCTATATCATTAAAAAATGTATTTATTTGAAAGGCAGAATCACAGAGAAGGAAAGACAGAGGAAGAGATCTTCCATCCACCTGCCAGAGACTGTGCCTGGCCAAAGCCGGAAGTTCAGAGCTTCTTCTGGGTCTCCCACGTGGGTGTGAGAGCCCAAGCACCTGGGCCACCTTAAGCTGTTCTCCCAGGTTCACTGGTAAGGAGTTGGCTCTGAAGTGGAGCAGCTGGGACTTAAACCAGTGCCCATACTGGATGCCAACACTGCAGGATCAGGAGTAACACACTATGCCAGAGTGTTGATCCCTCATAACATTTCTGAAGATCCCTTGAAGTTGGTTTGATTTGTAGGGGTCTGGGTATTAAATATAATCACACATATAAAAATACTTCGTAGATTCCTAAGTACTGTATTGATTCACTTATTGCAACCAACCACTGAAACACAGAATTGATAATATACTAGGATATAGGGGAGCACTAGAATGATTCTGTTATTACATCATTAACATGCTGTATGACTTTTACTTTGAACCACTTCAACGGCAGAGAGAGGGAGACAGCTAGATAGATCTGTCACGGCTCTACCTCAAATGTACAACAGCTGGGGGTGGGGTGGGGGTGGGCCAGGCCAAAGCCAGGTATCCGTGACTCCAAGTGCATCTCCTGTTTGCTGCTCTTTCTCAGCGATATTAGCAGAAAACTAGATCAGAAGCCTGACAGACTCAAACCCTGACAGGGGATGAAGGTGTTCCAAGCAGAGGTTTTACCCCCCAAGTCACAAGGCCTGTCCTGCACTACTTTCTGGGATGATCATCTCCCCGTTTCTTTGAGTCAGACAAGCTGCTAAAGATCTGTTCAAATACACATCAGCTGGTAACAAACAAAACTTCTTATATGTTAGCCGTGAGTGCTATAAATAGCATATCCAAAGCCACTCACTTGGAGAATTTTAAGCTTTCCTCAAATAATTCATCACCATTGTGAGGCTGACTAATAATCAGAAAAATGAGGTGGGTGTTGTGGTACAGCAAGTTAAACCACCACTTGGGAACCCTGTGTCGCATATTCAAGTGTTGTTGTTTCTTTTTTTCTCTGAAAGATTTATTTATTTTTGTTTGAAGGGCAGATTTGCAGAGAGAAGGAGAGACAAAGATCTTTCATCCACTGGTTCACTCCCCAAATAGCCGCAGTGGCTAGGGCTGAACTGATTTGAAGCCAGAAGCTGGGAGCTTCCTTTGGGTCTCCCAAGGGGATGCAGGATCCTATCGACTTGGTCCATGTTTCACTGCTTTCCAGGCCATTAGCAGGGAGCTGAATCAGAAGTGAACAGCTGGGACTTGAACCAGTGCCCATATAGGATGCTGGCATCATAGCTGAAGGCTCAGCTTACTATATTACCATGCCAGCTGAAGTGTTGGTTTGAGTCCCAGAGACTCTGTGTTTATGATGCAGCTTCTTGCCAATGTAAGGCAATAGATGGCACCCCGAGTGCTTGTACCTCTCCCACACAACACGGGAGATCCAGATGAAGTTGTGGGCTCCTGGCTTCAGCCTGGCCCAGCTTCAGCACCAGCTGTTGCGAGCATGCGGGAACTTCTCTTTTTGTGTCTCCTGTCATTTTATTTTTCAAGTAAATAACAAACTTAAAAATTAGTGATTAGGAAAACACATAACCAGGTAAGGGTCAATTTTGTGTCAGCTTATTCTAGTTGTAAGTGATGTCTGTCCTCAAGAAATTGTGTCAAGTTGGGCATCTGAACAGTGCCTGAGGTTGGGTTCTTTTTTTG